TTTCTTAATAAAATTATAAATTCTAATATAGATAAAAAATTTTGATTTTTATTATATTTTATTAATAAATTTAGTTTTTAATATATTACTTTTAGTTATTATTATATTTTATAAATAATAATTTTTAATATAAAATATTTTAATAAAAATTATAATTTTAAATAAGAACTTATAAATTAATTAAATAAAATTAAAATATTTTTATTTAAATAATTATATTTTATTATTATAAATATAATATATTTTTATAAATAATATTTTATTATAAATTATCTTAATAAAACTTTTAATTCTAAATAAGAATTATAATTTTATTTATAATTAAAAAATTAAAATTTTTAATTTTAAATAAAAAATAATTTATTTTAAATAATAAATATTTTAATAAATATTAAATTTTATTATATAATATTTTGCTCTCAATTTCTAATTCTGTTTTTTATCGCGTTTCCTTATAAATCTCTGTTGAAAATCTATCCAGGCTTGACGAGCTGTATTATTATTACGTATAAGCCGACATCTATATGCTATTTGCGTGTAAAATAATATACGCTTTTCCTCATAGCATTGTTCAAGTTCTAACTCTAAAATTTGAATTTCCTCATGAGCTTCTTGTTGATGTTGCCGAATTAATTGTTCATCTAAAAAGATATCAGTTTCAAGATCTGGAATCCTAAGTCTAAGCCTGGTAATTGTTTGTTGAGCTTCATCCACTTGAATCAAGGCTTCATCTCGTTCAGCTGTGATTTGTGCTATTGGATCGGGTAATGAGCCTAAACTTGAATTTTCACTACCTTCTGCTAATATCTCATCCAATAAACGGCTTTGCCTTTGTCCAGGCTCCAATGCCTCTTCCATACCTAATTCCAATGTTCTTAAGTGAGAATCATCGGTTGATGATCCAGATAAAAAACTCGTTTCTGCATCAGGTACTTCTAACATATCATATAAATTTTGATTCGTATCATCGGCAGTTTGTAAAGCATCTTGCATAGTATGAAGCTCCTGCCTATCGCGATAATGTAATAATCTTATAGCAAAATTTTGGCAATGCAGATCAGTTATACGTCTTTTTGCCGAGCTATTTGGTTATTTCGTTCAGTGAGATATTGCCTTAATCTATCATTCTCGTTACGGAGTTGTTCTATCGTATCTGTCATTTCTACCAAGTTATTATAAGTTTGAGGAGAATTTCTTCCGGAAGATGTAAGCTCTTTGATCCTACCCTTGAGCTTAGATTCCCTCTCATCAAATTCAGCTAATTGATTTTCTCTAACATAAGATTCTTCTCCTTTTGCCTGATTTCCTTTTTAGCATGGTAAAGGGATTTTTTTTAGATCTGAGATTTCTTTCTGCAATTCTATCTTCTCTTGGCTAGAAAGTGATATAACACTTTCAAGCTCATCTTCCAGAGATCGTATTCTCTCCTCACGTATAGCTATCTGTTTTTCAAGACTATAATTTATATGCTCATAATCCCGATTTGATTGAGCCAGTCGTTCAAGTTCTTTATGTAGTTCCTGGTTAACTTGCCTTAATTCATCCATGGCTATTTTTTACAGATTATTAATACTCGAAAGGAATGGATCAATCCGTAATATACATTGACCCACAGAGGGCCCGCAATTTAGATAGGGAGATCACATTGCAGAAACTATATTATAAGCCCGAAGGTTATTATCAGTCTGCTGAAAAAATGCACGTTGCTTGTAGAAATGCTGGTCATAATTTTTTATTAGCAGATATAAAAAACTGGTTAAATAAACAGATAACTTTTTTGATTCATAAACCTCGACCAAGATTTATTCAATATGCATCTTTTAATGGCATACGAGATTTAAATGAAGTACATAAATCA